AGCCGTTGGCCCGACCAGTCGTCCTACCCAGATTGTTCCTCAGTGGTAAGATGACCGACTTATCCCTGTTTGTCGCTAGCCTCGAGGTCAGCTCGAACTTTGCTAACACTTGTTCAGCTCTGATCTGCTGCTTCCCTTCCTAGACCAGGGTGGTGTCGTCCGCATGCCCGATGTACGCAAACCGCTCGCTCGCCTTGCTGATGCCCAACTTCCGCTTCAGAACCATTTGCGCCAGCAGCTCAACCGCGCACAAAAACAGGTACGGGGCGAGGGGGCAGCCCTGCCGGACCCCGGAGACCACCTCCACGCCTTCTCCCATCCATCCATTAACTAACAACCATGTCTGCGTTCCCGCATGCAGGCCTTCCACCCAGCGCACCAATCGATCAGGGAAGCCCATCGCCCGCAACGTCCGGAAGAGGTGGCCGCGGGAAACAGAGTAAAGCGTTTTTTTGAAGTCGACCAAGAGGAGGAACCAATACTCATTATCATTCCGCGCCGTGTCAATAATGTCAGTGACAAGCCCCACCGCATCCGTCAGGTGTCTTCCTGAGTTATCCCCCTTCTTGTGAAGCAGTATTGTAACCGCCTCTTTTACTCCCGTTGAGAGAACTGCTGACGACGCGAAATCCTTGGCTAAGGCCATGAAGCCCTTACCCAGCAGGTCCCAGTGGGCTTCAAATAGCTCCTTCGGTAGACCATCTTTCCCCGAGGACTTGTTTTCTGCCATCGCACTGAAGGCATTTTTCACCTCCTCTTCCGTCCAGTCTGCTGCCAGTTCATCTGCTTCCCAGACCCTCAGCGTCGTTCCCTGCGTAGGACGCAAGTCGTCTTCCAGCTGACACTGGTGCCGTCCGAAGATTTCCGCGAAAAAGTCAGACGCCGCACGAAGAATATCTTGCAAAGTGGAGACGACACGTGCCGCTGTCTGCAACTCCGCAATCTGGGTACTCGTCTTCCTAGCCTGGACCATTGCCGTCAGGTGCTGTGATGCCACTTCCGCTCAGAGCTCCAACCACATACCGGACATCAGGTGCAGCTTGTCCTTTCTTGACGCCTGGTATTCTCGCAGTTGTGCCTCCTTCACTACTAACCGTGCACTTGTTGCCTTGCAGGACGGATCCCGCATCATTTCCTGACGAAGCTCCACAACCTCATCAAACAGATGAGTCACCGTCGCCTTCACCCGCTTGCCTTCCTCCTTTGCAAATGCACGAAGCCCAACTGCCAACCTCGAAAGAAGCAGCTCGAAACTGGTACCGTCCGTGACAGCATACTTCGCTACCGTCGCTTCCACAATCCGTCGAACCCCATGCTTGTGGACCATTGATGCGTGAAGTCTCCAGAGGCCGGGACCGATGCAGAGCTTGGCGTCAATCCGAAGGGCCACCCGGATTGCAAAGTTGTGATCTGATCTATAGTCCTCCGGCATCACATGAGAAGCCTGGATTAGGTGAGGTAGGAGAGAGTGAGAGATGAGAGCCCAATCAATGCGCGTGCTGGCTTGCTTGGCCTGGGAAAAAGGTAAACTCTTGCTTTCTTAGATAAAGCGTACGGAAAGTGACTGAGAGCTGGAAGTTAGTGCAGCGGGTGAGGAGCCTATCGTTTTCTGCAGTAGAACCTATGCACGATGATTTATTTAATATCGGGTCCTCTATAATGTTAAGATCGCCGATGATGAGCAGGTGATTGGACGGCGGGATCGAGTCTACGTCCAGACCAAGGGAGTCACGGAGAAAAGTTGCACGGGAAGTCGCATTGGCCGGGAGGTAACAAGCTATGATGGTAAGCTGCAACCCAAGACCATGGATTAACACGCTGGAGAAGCTAAGTAAAGGCGACCGCCAGCCTTCGACCTAGGTGAGGTTGCTACTGCTAAGCTGTAAGTTGGGTGGGACCATACGGGTGATCGGAAGCTATCCCAGTGCCAGAGAGGACAATAATGTCTGCTGCTTGTCTGGATCTGTCGAGGACACGCTGCTGTTTGGTCTTATCTCCTAGGCCGTTGACGTTAAGGTCTGCGAAGCTTATAAGGCTTCTTTTACTCATATAATAGCAACTTGAGAACCCCTACGCATCCACAGGGTAAAGAAGAGAACAGCACCGACTACTGAAAGGGCTACTGCTGCTGCTACATCCTGTCTACCGAGCTGCTCTTGCCTCAGAGCCCATACTCCTTCGTCGTGACGTTGAGAATTGCTTTCTCGAGCGAGGCACGAGTCGCAGATCCGAGCTTCTCCAGATGAATGAGGTGATTTGCGGAGGTGACATGTTCTGCCGCAGTCATGAATTTTCTCCCCTTCGCCTTCCCAAAACCCACTAGCGTGCAGATCCACTCCTCCTGGTTCCCTCCAGTGGAGATCAACACCATGGCTAGGTCCTATAGGATAGGAGTTATCAGCGGTGAAGCCGAAAGGGATGCAGCTGCATGGTAAAACTTGGCGGTTAGCACAAGAGCAAGCACAATGGTAAGCATGATCATACAGAGAAAAGCAGTTACCATTAATACGATGAACCCTCCCCAAGGTAAGGTTCCACTTCCCTATGTTGTTTTGCCGCTCCGTAGGGAAAGCATCATGATTGACGTCATATTGCTGTCCACCATAGAGCCGGCAAGACAGCGAAGGAAAGTGGACCAAGAAGCGACGGCCGATCTCCAGAGGATCCTAAAAAACATGGCGCCAGCGGTATCTGTCGCCGGGATGAGGGATCACAAGACCTTTGATGACATCAGTATCAGATCTGGTGACAAGGTGTAGAACACGGTGGAAGCAGACACCATCCTTGAATGCTGACTGCATCCGGTTCTGTAGCTGGTAAACCACCATCAGCTCCCGCAGCATCTCCGACGTCTTCGTTGCACTTACATCCGGATCACCACTTCAATCGCTTGCTTGTTCATCGCACGCTCTCGCACAAAATCAGGGTCGTCAATGTGTTGCCAGTAGAGCCGGAAAACCGTGCCGTTAGGACGCGTGTAGTCCACCTCCTTGGACCTGATGCTTATAATGTCCTCTTCGCGCAGGAGGGAGACTTGCAGGCGACTGTAACTGGTCTTCGCCACCTACACCGGCAGGAGCTCTTAAATCTTCGCCGAGTCAACAGCACCGTCGGAGAGCGTAGACGACCAGGCACGCCTAATCAATGTTCGCACCGTGGTGATGACGAAAGCTACCTCCAAAGCAAGAGCCACGGGTAGCAGCAGTCTCGCCGTGTAGCGTACACAGTTTAAAGCTTCCATCCTGACTTCGACCTCGAGTTATTCATCGGATTCATCTGCAATGAAGCCACTATCAGGAGTCATTGTACGAAAAGAGCTCAGCTTCTCCTCCGCTTGCAGGAGCTTCACTAACCGGCACGTTAACTGACTCCTCAAGAGCTTTGCCCTTGCCTTTGCCTGCAGGATCAGAAGAAGCAGGAGTAGGCGACAAAGACGGTGCATCCAGTGACGAGGAAGGACCTTCCAGCGACGAGGCTTCCGGCAGCGCCTTTGACTTCCCCTTAGGAGGCATGGTGCGAGGATGAGAGAAGAAAGGTTGTGAAGCTTGAAAGCAAACCGCACAAGTCTGTGCTGATGCTTTAACTCTAAGCACAAACGCGTCAAATAGCTGAGGTCCTGAAGCATTGGACCAATGTTCTTGATGTTGGTGATGAGAAACCGAGGTCGAGGCCTCGGGATCAGGGTAAGCAATAGTCGAAATAAAGTCATTGTAGTCATTGTTGAACCACACGCTGCGTAAAACTGGGAACCGAAACCTTGGAGTTAGCAAACCATAAGGAACCTTGAAGTTAGTTGCCTGGCAAAAACCGGATCTCGTTTAGCGAAAGATACAATGCCCGACGTGTAGGCATAAGAATAGTATCGATAATTGCGCCTTATAACGAGGAATCCAGATCTGAAGTCCTTAAAGCCAACTGACATGGAACCTTCACGGGATCTAGGTTTGAAGCTGCGCAAAAATATCCATGGCGGTCTCATGGTGTCTCGCCTTCCGGATATCGATTAATCAAGCAGACGAGAAGGTTCTTTTGCCTAAAAAGAACCTGGTATTATGTTATATGTAAGATTGATAAATTATTGTTATATGTGTATGTAGGATTACTCTAGCAAGGATGTTCCAAGGCGCTCACGTCAGCTTGCTCGGCCTATAAGCTCGCCCCGAACCACCGCACCTTTTGCCGAACCTGGTTACCCCGAGGTCCTCGCCTAGCTTGACTGTGCCTATAAAATATAGTTTTGAACATTCATTGGGCATTCAGTAGCATTTTAGATTTCTAGTTTTAGCGCATGTCAGTTCATTTGTGAAACACTCGCACTCATAACGAATCATATGTTCAAATTAGGAACAACTGCGTCAGTCCACCATTTCGCTTGGCTCGAGTCGCGGGAGGACCCACACTTAGGAAGCGATAACTGGGAGGGCAGTGGTGGTACGTCACGTGGTCCAATCCGATAGATATCGCGTCAAATTGACAGACAGACCACGAGAGAGCGACGGACAGAGACACACTGCGACAGTCGACGGAGAAAAAGTAGACGAGCGAACGACAGTAGGCGACGAGCGAGTGACGGTAGGCGACAAGCGAGTGACAGTAGGCGACGAGCGAGTGACAGCGAGGGGCATTAGGCGGCGAGCGAGGGACAGTAGGCGACAAACGAGTGACAGTAGGTGACGAGCGAGTGACATTAGGCGACGAGCGAGGGACAGTGGGCGGCGAGAGCGATACATTCTAATTCGTGATGGGGGAGAACGGCGACAGCATAGGCACAAAGAACAGCCACAATGGCGCGTGGGGCAAGCACCGCTCACAGGCAGGACAGTCGGCTGCGGTAGCGGCGGAAACAGCAATATCGATGCGAACAGCAAAGGCTGAAGCGGCGGCGGCAGCGGCGGCGTGAAGAGGCGGTGGAAGCCCGCGCCAGTTGCGCTCCGCTTGGATCATTTCCCCTCCCGCGCCAGCGCCACCACCGCTACGCGCGAGCCCATTTCTCCGCCTCTTTAGGAGCCCGTGCAAATTGGTGTGCGCGCCAGTGTGCGAGGGTGCGCAGACGGGGCAGTAGTGACGGGCCACCGCGTGGACTAAGAAGGAGAGGTGGAGCGGGAAGGGGAGGCGCAGGGAGGGGAGGGGAAAGGGGGAATATGGCCGCATGCGGTTTGGGTTTAGCGGAAACGTGGGAAGGGATGGGAGAAGGGGGATCAAGGAGCGGAGGATGGCGGAGGAGGGGAGAAGGTGCAGGCGGAGGGGTGGGGAAGGGCGGGAGAGAGGGAAGGGTGGAGAGTTCACGCCAGGGGCGCAAGGAAGGGCTGATGGGGGCCCGCGTGGGGGACTGCGGAGGGGAGTGGGTAAAGGGGCGCAAGTGGGGGAACGAAGGGGGCCGCAGCGAAGAGGGGGGGGGGGGGGGGCGGGTGTGGGTGAACCCAGCAATGTGGGAGGTATGTATGGGTTGGCCCATGGTGAAGGTTTGAGGCATGGGGGAGGTGGGGGCTATAGGGATGGTGGGAGGTATGGAGGCACGGGATGGGTGGAACATGAGTGGCGTGCAGGAGGACCGAGAGTTGGGGTGGGAGGGGAGAAATGAGGGAGGGTTCAGAGAGGGGAGAGGGGAGGGAGTTCGAGAGGGGTGAGGGGAGGGTGGGATCAGGAAAGTGTGGGCTGGCAGGAGGAAAAGGGGGGGGACAGAAGGTCGACTGAAGAGGTGAACGCGGAATGCAGGGGAGAGGCGCAGGAGGAGGTGCAGAGAGTGGACGTGAGGCAGGTGGATGCGAGGCGGGGGGGTGGGACGCAGGTGCATGGGAGGCAGATGAAAGGGAATCGAGTGTTTGGGCGAGAGGGAGGACAAAGGAAGGAGAAATTGGGGGAGCGAAGGGGCAAACAGGGGAGGACATAGGAGGGCCAGAGAAGGGAGGAGAGGGGAGGGAGGGGAGGAGAAGGGAGGGGAAGAGAAGAGAGGGCAATAAAGCAGCGTGGGGAAAAGCATGGAAGCATGCAGCAGGGGAGGCATTGACTTGACCACTTGCAACCGAGCTGAAAACCCCAAACATAACTGCTGAGCCATCGCATTGTGCCACGTGCTACCAAAATCTTGCCCTCAAACACCAAACACCACTGATGAGCCGTTGTGCCGTGCGCTGTGCACCTTGCCTTGCTGTGGCAACCTTATGTTCACTGCCCTGCCTTAATGCTTGCGCAGGAGGAGCGGCAGGTGCTCAAGAAAATCTCCCTTCCCCCTCCGCCCTTCCCATCCACCCTCCTTCCTTCCCCCTCCGCGCTTCACATCCGCCCACCAAGGGAGGTCACGTTCCGCCCTCTGTGCAATTGACCAGCTTGAAGCCGCCAAGGTGAGACGCTACGAGGGGTGGAGACGCTCCGAGGGGTGGAGACGCTCCGAGGGGTGGAGACGCTCCGAGGGGTGGAGACGCTCCGAGGGGTGGAGACGCATGTGAGATTCCCTCAGGAGACTGGTAAATGGGGTTCAAAGGGGTTGAAGGGGTGGTGACGGAAAAGGGGTTGAAGGGAAGGGGGGGAGAGGTGGAGACGCGTGTGAGATTGCCTCGGGAGACTGGTGAAGGGGGGGCGAAAGGGGGATGAAGGGGGGTTGGAAGAAGAGGGGTTGAGGGGTTGTGAAGGTGATGTGTTTAAGAGGCTACGTGTGATAGATGACGTCACGATAAGTGGGGGGCTGTGAGCAGTTGATGTGGGGTGGGGATGTGTGTGTGAGAGTCAATTCTCCCAAACACCCTACAGTGCTCCCTTCCCACCCATGCCCAAATCCTTCCTTTCCAACCTCCCCTCGTCCCTGACCCCTCCCACTACGCTTGGCTCCTACTTGCTGTTCCCATGCACTCTTGCCCCTACTTGCACAACTGCTTGCCAAGGCACCATCTCAGGAACATCTTAAAACTTCCCTTACCCACTCTAGTTCCCCTTACGCATTCCTTTTTCATTGACACCTCCTCCTCCGTTACCCAATCCCCCTCCCCGTATCACTACCTTTATGCTTGCCCTTTCCCCCTCCCCTCTCTCCCTTCCCGTGAAGCCATTCCTTTCCCCTTTACCATTCTCGTTCCTCTTACCACCTCCCTTTACCCGTACCCCCTACCCCCTCCCTTTTCTCCTTCTCTTTACTCCTTCTTTACCCGTCCCTGACCCCAATCTCCTACCCCAACGTCAAGCTCTGCCGTGGCCCGTCTCGCTTCGCCAGCATGACGCTTCGCCAGCAACATACCTCGCCAGAATCATACCCTTAGCATGACGCGTCGGCCCTACCGCTGCACCACCTCCACCACCTCACTACAGCCTACAAGAGTTATTATAGTTTGACACACCCCCATAGGCTAAGTGAGGGGCAGCAAGGAGACAAACAAGTGACAGCAGATGGTCACAAGACCAGTCAAGAGCAAGCAACAAAACAAGGCTCAGGGTGGCCCTCAAAGTCACCACACACCCTGAACACAAACAAGCGGCCACAAGGCCAGTTCAAGAGTTCACTAGGATATATAGCAAAGCAGAACAAGCAGAGCAAACAGCAAGACTACCGTAACCGAAAAACTACCTCAACAAGCCCTAGCTGCACACAAAACCTATAATATCACTAGGCGCCAAGGCCTAGTGAAGACGTCGGTAGTGTTGGCCTATGAGACCACAGCGTGCCTGGCCGCGTCGCTGCAACTCTCACAGGAGAAAGTACCTCGTGTCAATGTGCTTCACTCTAATTTCCAGTCGAGGCTCTTGACACAGGAGGATCATGGCCCTGTTGTCCGCGGATAAGGTCGGTGCAGAGCGAGGGTGCTCATCAAGGTCGGCGAGCAAGAAGGTCAACCAGCGAAGCTCCTGTGCCGCCATGGCACCAGCGTAGATCTCTGCCTCTGCACTGGACGAAGCCACAGACGACGACCGTTTAGACCTCCACGATACAGCACGAGCACCCAAGCTGAAGCAGTAACCCTGAGTCGAGCGCTGAGTCTCCATGTCGTCAGTGTAGGAGAGTCGCAGTGACCGGTCAGCTCAACTAGCTGAGTCTCTCCAAGCACAAGCCCCATGCCTGATGTAGTCGCCAGGTACTTCACCACCCTCACAATCAGTAGCCAGTACATTGTCTCCCAGTTGCAACAAAGCGAGAGAGGACAATGAGAGGAAAGGCGAGGTCTGACCGAGTACAAGACACCAGGTACATGAGACAGCTCACAAGCTATGCGTAGGGACCACTAGACTCAAAGGGCTCATCGGGAAAGGGGCCAGTGAGTGTGTGGTCAACAGCAAGAGGAGTGGGCTGGGTGGTGGAGAATTGAAACTCGAACCGACGAAGGACCTGCTGCCCCATGTATGACTGCGTCAGTGTAATGGTGCGAGCAGCTCTGTCCGTGGTGATCTGCAGGCCAAGGTAGTGCTGCAATTCACAATGGTCAGTGCACATGTGTCTGTTGTGCAGTTTAGACTTCACCTCAGCCAGAGCTGCCCTGTCTGCTGTAGCGAAGACCAAGTCGTCGACGTAGACAAGTATAATGAAATGAGTGGGACCAGCGCGAACAAACAACGACGGGTCGGCAGAAGAAGGACGAAACCCAAGTTCACGAAGCGTGGATCAAAGACTGTCATGCCATTCACGGGGCGACTGGCGGAGACGTAGACTGGTCCCCTCAGGCTCCACTGGGTCCCAAATGGGAAGGTGTCAGCGAAGCTAGGAGGACGGCGCATCCAGATCTCCTCGTGTAGGCGGCCCTGGAGAAACGCAGTGGAGAAGTCGAGGGAGTGCAGCTCGTAGTCCCGCTGTGCTGCTACGTGCAATAACACCCAAAGAATAGTCATCTTCGGGGTCAGGGCGAAGGTCTGGAAGAAGTCAACTCCCTAAAGCTGACTGAAACCCCTAGCCACGTAGCGCGCCTTGAACATAGGCGGTGATCCAGGCGGCCGCTTCACCTTGAAGGGCCACATGCCATCGACAACGTTCGCCCTGGGAGGGGGAACTGCGTCGACATAGGTGCTTGTGGATCTCCAAGACGCTAACTCTGAGTCCATAGCCGCTTTCCACTAAAAGGTCTGCTCCCCTGACACTACCTCACGGTACGTGCGAGGAGTCGGAATGTCAAGGACGTCGGGGTCTCTAGGGGAAAGCAGCATAGCACAGAGAGAGGGAGAAGCGGCTGCCAAGAACTCCAGCTCAAACTGCCTGTCCTCTAGGACGTCACAGCCAAGGGCAAACTCAGCCCCGGCGGACGGAGGACGGGCAGGCGGAGCAGCCACTACACACGTGGCTAAGTCAGCGACACCGGAAGTAAGAGTCGAGACAGATGACGGAGTGGCACGAGGTTTGGTGACAAGAGAGGCGAGAACAGCAAAGTCTGCTGCTGCTGCTGCTACTGCTGCTGCTGCTGCTCGTGCTGCTCCTGTAGGTCCAACTGCCGCAGCTCCTGCCTCTCCTACTCCAACCGCTCCTCCTCACGCTCACATCAGCGAGCCCCTGGAGACGTGTGTCCTGGCTATGAGGAGGCGCAGTAGTAGTGCCTCCAGCTCCAGTCTCCTCGGAACTAGCACCTCAAGTGCCAGTACCTTCTACCCCAGCACCCCCAGAACTAGCACCTCCAGCGCCAGCACCTCTAACTCCAGCACCCCCAGGATTAGCACCTCCAGTGCCATCACCTCTAGATCCGGCACCCCTCAACAGTGCACCACCAAAACGAGTACATCCAGTGGCAGCACCTCCAGCTCCAACAGCCCCTGAGTCCACAGTAACATGGCGCGGAAGTGCCGAAGGCTGCTGAGGGGACTATGAGGAGGACTGCGGGGAGGGAGACGCTACCTGACACGCAACCGAGGGTAGAGGGGTAGCGTGAGACACACCTGACGGGGCGTGACCAGGGGGGTGGGGTACCGGAGGAGCGGGAGCAGGAGGAGGAGAGGGTGCAAGGAAAAGGGGAGGGGGGGGGGAAGCGGGAAACCTTGACACGGGTAGCGAGCGCAATAGGACACAGGCTCGTCAAACCGTGTGTCACGGGAGTCGAGGAACTGGTGGAGGGGCGGATGGTAAAAGGCGTAGTCGGGAGAGTCCACCTGGAAACCAAGGAAGATACAGGGGATGGCACGAGCCGAGAGCTTGTCCGCAAATGTGTCGCGGACAAGCACAAGGCAGCCCCAGACACGAAAGGCGGACCCAACACCAGATGAAGCCTCTGGTCGCGAGACCCACGGCTGGAGGTCCAGCTGGTGGGCAGTGTAGCGAACTGCTTAGGGCCATAGAAGATGGGGCGCACTGTTGATTGTGTAGGTGGTTGTGGTATTTTGCTCTAGCTGGTTGGGGGCTAAGGGCTTGGGCAATATGTGCTTGCTAAACTTGTTGCGGGCTGGATTTGATCTCGCACCCACCAAGCACCAACAAACCTTTGCTATTCATTACAACACCTTTGGTGTTGCTAGTTTGGCATTTTCGGTTATTGGGGATTGTTTTAGGGCAAGGGTTGGATTGGTAGGGTTTGTCCAACTCGTCACTTTGCAGATCTGAACTCTTGCTAAAGCTACTTTCTTGATCTAATCCATGGCTGCCTATTGATTCCGCCAGGATACCCCGTCGCACTTAAATCACGATATCAATCGGCCGAGGTCTTGGTTGAAGGCGTGCGTTACCATTCTGGAAAGTAGAGATTTAGACCTTTCCAACGTGTACCTGCTTATAGTTTAAGGTTACGTGAGCTGCACGCAATGTTCCGTCGAAGTCAGCGGACTTAATATCTTGTTACGCTCTCCAGGTTCGCGCGTTTTCCATCACGCACAAGCATGGAACATGGACGTGGGGGCGATGTCCATGTCCAATCCAATGCGGCGCTCAACAAGCTCATTCTGATGTGGGAACTCCAGAAGCGTCGAGGACTGTGAGATGCCCCCGCATAACTCGCCCCCACGGTCGGAGTGGAGATAGGAGACACAACGACCACGAGTGCCCTCAGTGGCCAGAAGTCACAAAATCAGCGTAGAAGTCACCTTGGACTTCTTCGCGAGAAGAAACACTGTGGTGTACCTGGAGGAACCGTCGACGACCACCAAAATTGTAGCGGTCCCTCTCAGGTCTCTGCGTAGGGGCAAGGCCCCAGACGGCCAAGTGGAGAGTTAGGAAGGGAGCAGTTGCCGGGCGAAGGGAGGAGGAGTGCGAAGTGGCGCGCAGACGGCCGGCGGCACAAGGAGTGCACGTGGGTGTAGGCGAGGGAGGGAGCGACGCAAAGACACGAGGGAGACCTGAAACAAGACGGTGACTAGCCATGCTGCGGTTACGGTGGATCGACAGGTGGCCAAGAAGGTGGTGCCACAAGACGGTCGAGGGGGGCGAGAGACAGACAGGAGCAAGACGTAGCAACCAGACCAGACACAGCAACCTGACTAGACACAGCAACCGAAGGGAACGCAGTAACCTGACCGGACTCTGCTACCTGGGGGGACGAAGTAACCTAACCAAACTCTGCTACCTGATGGGATGCAGTGTGCAGAACAAAGAGACATGAGTGGGGCTCCTTGGCGAACGTGGCAAGAAGTGCCCCGGTGGAAGCATTCGTACAGATCGTCGTCCTCGCGTGCACTGGAAAAGTGACAATGACCCCACAGTGAAGGTTTCCAACACCCACCAAGTTCCGAGAGAACGAGGGGATGTAGAGACCATTGAAGAAACCAGAAGGGGCAGCCGGCCACGGGAGAGTGCTCGAGCTGCGAGCAACTGCTAATCCTGAAGTTGGATCAGCCAAGGAAACTGGGACTGGAGCCAAAAGAGGTGTGACAGTGGTGAGATGGCGAAAGAAGCATTGGCACGTGCCTAAGACCAGCGTGAAAGGGAGCGACGTGAGAGCAGTCATCACGGCTGGACTAGTGACTACACAAACACCTATACTAAAAGCACAAGTACCTACACCAGCAACAGGCAAAGATCCTAAGCTAGGTACACGCAAGCCAAGAGACCATACGTGACAGAATAAGTAGCATCCGTAGACATATCAATTTATGGTAACCACTACGAGACAGACCGAGCCAGGTCGGTGGCCTTGACTCAGGTCCAAAACGCTCATGGTATAGGTCGTTGAGGCGGCTGTAGCAGGGCTGTGCAGAGTGGTCAGGACGCCAGCAGATAGTGCCAGCACCAGGGTCAGTCAAGATCCGGTACTGGCATGGGC